ATAAGTCAAATACTGTCTGTAGTTTACGCGAATAGTACACATTTAAATAAAACACTTCAATGATTTAAAACGCGATATATGTTACTTTAACCTTATTTAACTACGGCTTTACGTTTTCCCCTGCGCACGGTTGCTGCAAAGCATCCGAAGGCGAAGTTGAAATAATTTTCAAATGAGCTTAACTAATATATATCGCGTTTTAAACATTACGTAATTAGGACGTATTACTATAGTTCGAAGATATGAATCATTAACTGAGGCTTAAAGACGGAAAATATATTCTTCTACTAAGTCCCACTTTGAACGTAAATCGTTGTCACCGCCGAAATGTCGATTTCTCCGAAGTTTAATGTGTATCGGCGGAAGTTTTCATTGGTGGGCACAGACTATGAATAATGTCCCTCGGAACGGAAACAGCTTCCGGTCTGTAACTGCCCTTATCTTCGACGCAAGTTTGATCGCAAAATTTAAAACTCGTTTGAACGCCATTCGAAATGTTTTTCTTCGAGAATTTGGGACAAATTCTATTCTCGTTCGACGGATTGCTTGCGAGCGGTCTGTTTTAGATAAAAACGTTGATCTTATGATCAAAACAATTTTCAAAGGACATTGTCACCGTGCAACTTACGGGAGTCGACCCCACCTCTTTCGCTAAATCAAATGCTGTGTAAACGCTTGCGCTACTGGTTAAGTTCTTTTTAATTATTTTTATTTTGGCGTTTAAGAAGGCATAAACGTTAAAATAAATAAAATGCCAAACGAAATAATTCAACGTGCTCCTTCAAAATCTTTTTCATTCGTTTTAAAAACTAAATTCAAGATCCTTCTATAAAACTGACACTGACGCTCACGTAGGAAATTAAAGATCCTATCAGAGTAACGAAGAGTTAATAAAAGCGATCCGTGCCACTTTTCACTCTGTTTTTCGGGAAATAGAAGCCCTTAACGTCATTCTCAATGATTTATTTAAACATATTTACCTTTGTTACTTACTGAACTATGAAAGTAAGTAATCCAAAAGTGTGTTTTAGTAAAGCTGAAGTTGATTTCAAAACGAAAAAGTATTGCTTTTGTGTAAACATTTTAAATAACAGAAACGAAAATGATTTACATTTTTAACAATTAAAAGTTGTTTTAAAATAAATTTTATATTGAAGAAAATGTATGACACGGACAGGACTTCATCTAGTATCCACAGCGTTACGTGCTGCTGCTCTCACCAAACGCACTTCTAACGTTGCATCGTTGCATCATGTGCTAACGTAAATAAACGTTTTGAAATAAATCAAGTGTATGTATTTTTTTCTACTGCTTAAGTTTATAGTAATTAATTAAAGTACATTGATATGAATGACCTGCAACGACACATGTTTACCAAAATTGAATATCGAAAGTTTTGTTATTTATGTTACCAAAGAAGCTACTTTATATTACTTGAAAACAAACAATAGTTTAGAGAGGTAAGATAATTTTTGACTGATTCCATCTGTCATACTGTTAGACGTACATCAGCTCGCGGATTAGCTTACCAACATATAAAAAATTTAAACTCATTTATAACAACATCCATAAGCCCTTTTCTAATTTCCACCATAAAAAGTTCGCGTCATCCAGTGACGTCATTACGGGAACACTTTACGGATGCTGGGTCACGACGGTGAAAAAGTAGGCCCCCGGAGAGAATAAAATGAAATTGTGTTTCGCTGGAAATTACAGGAGTGTGCTAATTTGAAAGGTAACGCGCGTGGCAAGCAAACATTTGCTTGTGGATTCGAGTATCAGCGCCAGTTCCTCCTTATAATTTTAGCAGTGCAATAAAAAAGCTTTCTTATTTGTGTTGTTGTAGTTCTTTTTCAGTAGATATGTGATGTAAAATTTGTAAACAATTATCGATTTTTGTTGTTGTGCTGCCATAAATTTTTGCACGTTAAATGCTACGACTCTAGGATAATTTAAGCCGTTTAGTTAAACTGATGCTCTTATAATTACTGTCTCAAATTTACGCAATTAGTACACATTTAAATAAATCACTTTAATAGTTTAAAACGCGGTATATATATTAGTTAAACTTATTTTAACTACGGCCCGACGTTTCGTATCCTTTGCAGCAGCCGTGATCACGGGGAGCCTACGAAGTTAAAATCATTCTCAAATAAGTTGAACTAATATATATCGCGATTTAAACCGTTAAATAGTTTTGTTTAAATGATGCTCTTTTGTTATTCGTTATTAGTTGTTTTAACTGCCCAAATTCACAAAAATTTCAACTCTACTATATATTAGCGTTTTGTTCATGTTTATTAACTATTAACATCAACAAAATGACGCCCGTGGCATAATTTTTAAATTAAGTATAATTAAACTTATTTTCATAATTAACTCATAAGAAAATCTTTTTAACCAGTTTCTAAGTATTTAATTCAGTTTGTATTATAGCACTAGTAACATTTTACTTACCTACAGCAGTGTCAAATCAAACAAATAGCCGTCAAAATATATATTATTCATTCGATTTTGATTCCAGGAAATTGTGCTCTATAGAATTCACGTATCTCGTGTTTACTTTGAATATAATGTTATTGTTTGGCTTTATTTGTATTCAAAATATTGCTTTGATATTGGATTTTTTAGAAATGTTGTTGTTTGTTAGTAATAATGTATAGACATGTTTTAGTAATAATATATTCTAACAACTTAGTTTCCTTTCTGTAGATCCCTAACTTATATTATATTAGTTCTCACGTTTCGTTTTAAAGTTTAGTTCTTTTTTGTTTCCAATTAGTAACTTAGTAACTTAACCCAACTTTAAAGACTTTTTACTGTAAACTATTTAAGGATATATATATATATTTTCAATTCCTTGTAATATGTTCCTCTATTCTTAAACAAATAAATGTTCCTAATATGGAACATACAAATAAACTAAACAATTTTCTTTTTTAAACCAATCTTATTACCTAGAAAAGGACCTAGAGACATTCCATTGAAGAAAATAAATTTTGGCTAAAATAAAACTCATTCTTATTTATGACATTTTATTATAGAAATCAGAATAATTTACATTGTAAAAAATACACATACTCAGTAGTCGATACACTAATTTCAACATTTTTTGGCTTTGCAACGTTTAAAATATACATTCGGTGTATCTCCACGATACTTTTTCGAAAAATTAATGAAAAACAATTGCCAAAATAAAGAATCTCGATTCAGCTTATTAAAGTCCTATTCCTATGGGAGAGAGAGATGAAGACCCACCGCGCTTACCCAGTGCAGGTAAACGGGATTTATCGAATAATTAATTATAAAAGACCGACTGCTCAATGCGGTCTCCGACGCAAGAGTGTGTTGTCACCTTTTACTTCCACGCTTTGGGCTGCGTCTTAGTAAAAAATCAAAACCGAAATAACGTTTAGGGAATAGAAGCATGAACCCCGAGGTTTGCAGTCAAGTGTACACAAGCGGAAATATGGTACAACAAATAAAATCTAAATTCTTTGGTATTTTAAGTCGCCCATTTTATAAAACGCACAATTGAATTTTGTTTCTACAGTCCTGAAATAATATAGAGAAATAGAAATAACCTTACATATTCAAAGATAGAGTTCAAATCTAAATACCTATATTTCACAGAAGGCTTTGATTGTAACTTACGCTAGATATAAACTTATCTACTTAACATTTAAACGTATTAAAAATAAAAGCTGCATCTTTGGAGTAATTACGTTAGTGTTGGATACTAAAGAAATACCCAAGTCCCTTAAAAAAACAATTTTATCGAATAAAAATATGAAATCCTTTCGTTAAGATACTTGCTGTAGTGAGTGAACGTCTATACGCTAATCGTTATTAAATAATTTAACTAATATATTTCGCTTCTTAAACAGTTTGAAATGATTTAAAATTTGTATCACTTTAAATTATAGACGATATTTTTTATGATACTATGTAATCTGTTGTGTATGTTTTTTTAATGTACATACTTTATTAAACAAAATGAACTAAAGGTCTAATTAATTTATAGTCAGCTTAAATGTAAGTTTCTTTTCTTTCTTACGACATGGTCTAAGACCCTAGCAGTGTTTAAAAATCCTGAACCACAGTTAAATAAAAATTACCTTTTAAAAATACGCGGGTATTTCTTAAGTTCACAATCTCATTATAAAACGACTACTTTTTATTATTGAAGTACTGTCACAAAAATGGAGATTCAAGCGATATGTATTATTTTGAGACAAATATACTATAGTACTAATTGACTAATCGCGGAATATTGACGTCGCTATGTTCTCTATCTATTTCTAATTATGAAAAGGCAAACGAGGTTCTTTATCTTCATCATGTTTTATCTATAGCAACACTTATCTATTAATTGTCTATGGCTTATGTTAAACGCAATTGTTACATGATTACGCGTAATTATACCTTTAGTGTCTAGTGCAGTTCCGTTTTCGAGAAACATAAGTCGAGGATTATATATTCGGCTATAGTTATAATAATTTTGTACTAAAGCGAAATAGTAATCGCAGCTTTTAATAGAAATGTTTATTTTTTCTTTATACTTTATTCATAATATCATAGAGTACACTTCATGAAAAAATAATTATGAAAGACCGTGTCGGGTAACATGAGGAATCCTTACGTAAATATTATGATTATGTTATTTAAGCCTAGTATTAATTCTATTTTTTACTTGAACGACCAAACGAAAAGAAAAAGCTCTCTTAGATACAGCGGTAAACAATGTAAGTCTACCTACACAGAACATCGACAGTCATCTCTTAATTTAACATATTTTTTACATCAATTTTAATCGTATTTTTACAATTGAATGTACACCGAAAATAAAACAAATTTGGAATTGAAACAAATTTCGTATCTTTGGACGGACAGTACAGATGCTAACGCAAAAGGTTTAAAAAAGTAACATGTGCACGGAAAGAAACTGGCCACTTACAAAAAGGATAAAAAGATAAGTTTAAAAATGGAACAGTTGGGAATTACGTGAGGTTGTTTCGCCAGTCTTCCTGCGGCTGTGCCGCAGTGCAGTTGGTGGCGCACCATCTGGACTGCGTTGTCGGCGGGCAGGGGTTTCCGCCGGGTCGTTGACGTCTTATTATTCTTCTGGTCCGTAGGGCTGATCCGACGCAACCGCCGTCGCTGCGACACGGGCTCCACTGACCCCAGTCCGACACTCGACAGTCGAGCAACCCTAATTAACGGTCGGGAGTTATAATTTCATCCACTTTACAGTTCTCGCTATGATTAAAATTGTTTAAAATGTGAATTATTTTTACGTAAGAATATTGTGCCAGCCATTATTATGAATCACATCCCTAACATGATCGAGTCTAAGGTAACCAGAATTAGTCTAATTTTCTATTAATTAAGTTAGTTAGGTACCCTCGATTAATAAGTCATATTTTCCCTTAGTAGGATCGTCTATGCCTGTCTATATTACTTACTTGCTCTTTTTCTCTTCCTCCTTTCAGCGGGGTCTGCATTATCAGCTCGAAGCTTACGTCGTCGTCTGGCCCGATATCTTCTGGCTAAGCTGCGCAAGGCAGACCGATCACTGGCAGTCGGCCCGGATGTTGGCAGCTCGTTCGCTGATCGAGGCTCTTCTGTAGTGCTTGACGTGTTGTTCATACTAAGACAAGAAAGTCATACAAAATATCTAAATATTGTTTCCTGTCGTGTGGGGAAAGATTTTACTGTTTATTCTTTATCTCGCGAGTAGGTACACATTTAATTAAAACACTTTAACGGTTTAAAACGCGTATATATTAGTTAAACTTATTTGAAAACACAACACTAAAAAAGACTACACCTGTAATTAAAATAATTTTTAACTAACATATATCGCGTTTAAAACCGTTAAAGTGTTTTATTTAAATGTGTACCTTTGTTATTTATTGTTTATGCATATCTGATATAAGAGAGTTTGTGGTTTTTATTAAGATTAATCTATTCCACATTTCTTTGTGTTGCAATAAATAATTGTACATAAGTCAACTTAAAACTTTTATTATTATTATTGCAATTGCGTTTAGAATATTCCAAGTATGTTTGTTATTATATTGAAAAAATAATTAAACCATTTAATAATTGTTACAATAAACATTCAGTATACTTTTTATAGCTCAACTTACAAAAATCTAGTTTAAATACAGCAATGTGAGACAGGGTAAAATTGTTTACATTAAGAAAAAAGGTAATTACACCGTATAAACTCCAAGTCGACCCTAATCTTTGATATACTAAAAGATTAAACGGCTATTACCATATTCAAGACTCATTATAACAACGGTATTATAAATTGTAAAACACACGACATGTAGAGAATAAACAAAATGTGGAAAGAGAACGAGATTGACGGCGTTCATGTAGTCAATTGATGCTATATTAGTGACACTAACTACAAGTATAATTACATAAATATCTATTTTATATTTATATGTTTGAGATATTTTTGTTTCTTAACGAATATAATATAACGGTTCGTTAATACCAGTTCAGCTTTTTAAAATAGATTTTTTTGTGCCAAAAACGCGACGTAACAACGCCCGCAAAAAGGATTTCGTTAAAGTTATAATTAACTGTCAAATATGGTATTTTATATTAACGAAAGGAACCCTCAAATAAAAAAGCAAAAAAAACGCAAAGACTGTTGTTTTTAACAGGTTCTTTGGTGTAATGGGCTATCCGCTAAGACCGAACCCTTTTTCTAATAAATTTATAATTTTTCTGAAAAATGTTGGACTTTGTCTGGAAATCTGGACATTAAATGGGTAGGAATATCGAAATTCCGTCCGGGTTACGAACCGCCGTCCACAGAAGAGAAAGCCGTGAAGTTTAATGTCGTTTTGGGTTTCAGTCTGTGGATTTCCAAATATCCAAAGCCAAAATAGGTCAACAGTGCATATTGTTTAGATGCTATGGGCCTACTACCTACTATCGAGTACCTCGTCTGTCGTCATCTATCATTAAGATGTCATCCAATAGATGAACTAATATACTTTGCGTTTTAAACGGTTCATAGTGTTTTATTTTAATAGTACCAACGCGTGATCTACAAATACTACTTCAAATGCCTCTGCTAAGCTTTTCAGGAAAAGTAAATCTTAAGTTTAATGTTGTTCAGAACTATATAAATTCTACTCTTTCAGAATGTAAAAATGTGAAAACTTACATTGAATAATACGAATATGCTCCATCCGGCGTCGTCAAGGAACCTTCAGCGTATATCCGCGGAGCCTCGTTCCGTTCCACCTCCTCCGCGATAGATAAGGCCCGGTTTCCATCCAACACGTCTATATTATTATGACTCAACTTGTCCAATTGGAGCACGTCGTACTTTCGATCGTCGCTGTCTCGATGAAATACTTCTGAGAGCTCGTATTCTCGAAGCTAAAGAAACAATATTGATTTCTTTATAGACTCAGTTGAAACAGAGAATCTCAAGTAACTGAATTGACACCAGCAAGTTAAGTTTCTCCGAATTAGCAGTATGGGTTACAAGCAAGCGTTTTAAGGTTGAAATTAATTGTGCGGGATTTTGAAGGGGTTACGATACGTAGGATACGGTAGCTCAATTGGTTAGCGCAGCAGCACGGAATGCTGTAAATGTAGGGTAGTTTATTTTACATCGAGTTCCTGTGTTACAAAAAAATATATATTTCTCTGAGATTCTCTCGCGGTTTAAACGATAGGCTTACACATATACATGGTTGCATCACCAAAATTCTATAAGTACAATATTTAACACTTTATATGTAAGTAACTACTAAATAATGTCGAACAAAAATTGCGCACAATTTTAACTCAAGCAATAAAAACTCTATAGTTGTATAGTTAAATTTGTTGCACCATTGTCAAATAGTTAAACATCGCATTAAGCGCAAGAGGCCCTGGGGTCGAATCCGGGCAAAAAAAGTAGATTATTCACGTAAACCATATAGTTTCCCACGTTATAATCTCAATAGATATAGCATAGTTCTATTCTAAATTCTCAGATAAACGTTGAAAGCCAAAACTGCGCCCTCGACCCATTTAAAACACGACGATAATGCAAAACACTTTCCAACTATTTTTAAATAGTTTTTCTTACATTTGGTGTCTAATGAAAGCGTCAGTGGGGAAGTGCAGTTTACATCAAAGGTTTTTTCTTCATTTTTAAACTCTTTTTAATCCGGTGTTTGCTTTGTAAATAGAGCCGTTACTGTAGTTTGTGTTTATTAAATACACGGATAGCGTTTTAATATGATATCTAACTTAAAGAAACGTTAATGAGACGATATTTATAACCAGTTCAGATATGTTTAGAATAAGTTTCTTGGAAATACATAATTGATATCTTTTAGTGTGGACTTCAAATGTAGTAGCTAGCTTATATACAAGTACAGCGTGAGTAAATTATTTAAGTAAATCATTGTCTTTTTTGAGTAAGTAATGCTTTTCGTGAATAAAACTATCTAGTGATAACTGTTTTGTTTTTAATATCGCTATGAAAACTGCAACTTATACAAATTCGTTACAAATATTTTACATAGATATATTGTTACAATAAAGAGACATATTATATTGTTTGAACGAAACGAAACAATTAAAGATTTGTAATATATTATTAAAATTAAACGTAGATAAAAAAATAAATTCGTAACTTAAAAGAGGATATTTGATTTATTGTTCAAATTTGTAGTGTTATCAACTGTTTTTAGTTTTAAAAGCACAACTATATAGACATACTATTTAATATTATAATATAACACTTATTAGACTTACTTTAATAAACTGAAACGTGGCTATAGGCGGTAGTCTTCTCAAATGCGGGTAGAAGAAGGATCCAGCGGGGTGCGAGGGGTACCGCGACGTAATGCGGTATGCCACTCCTTGTGGAGCGGTCGGCCAGTTAGGAGCTGTGAATGTAAATCCGTTGTCTGTTCCAGCGTCTAGTGGATCAACCTGAATAAAACGAAATTGCATGAAGATTACAAAATGACAAGTACCTTAACGTTAAATTAACGATTCTCTAAACTTGAAGTGATACTGCCTATTTAAACAAAGAAATGAATAAAATTAAGTTATACACTAGCACGTCACTTTTAGATATATTAATAAAGTTTTGAACTAAAAAAATATATAATGCATTACAATACGCGAAAAATGTAAAAAGAGACTTGGCGATAGAAGGAATGGCGGCGAGTTTCTTGCCAGTTCTTCTCTTTTGTGCTACGCCCTTAATTTTAGAACTGGTAAATGTAAATTTAGAGTCTTAAGAACTTAACTTAACGTCACATCACGTTCATAAGTTTACCTAGCTACGTGAAAAAATGTTTTTGACTTTACTCGAAACAATTAAACCAAAGAATATTGATAGAGTAGAACATAAGTACCTCAATTGTTATGCTGTCCAGCCAGTTACCATCGACGCAGAGATCAAAACTGTCAACTCCAATAAACCAATCTGGTGATGGTATCATCCTCGCCATGACAGATACCTAAGTGGAATTTTATTGTATCATTAACTAGTTATAGATGTATAATAGTGTACCATTTAAATAAAATACTTTTACGGTTAAAACTTATTTTAACTACCGCCCGATGTTTAGGATGCTTTGCAGCAGCCACGACCACGACTGTTAAAATTTATGTTTACTTATATATATCGCGTTTTAAACCGTTAAAGTATTTTATTTAAATGTGTACTACTCGCGTAAACTACACACTGTACTGTTTTATTTTACTTTACTAGTAGTATAGTAAAGTTAAAAAAAAACAAGAAAGTATGTTTACAAGTATACAAGAAATTCTGTTCGTAAATAAGAAAGAAATAAAATACTTCGGGTATTATTTCTCTCCCTCTATTTTTTTCTTCATATTAGAACCAAAGTTGTTTCCCATTAATTCAAATGTAATTGGTAAGTTACAATAACAATTGATAATTTTAGACTCAATATCATCCTATGACTCAGAAATTAAATGATATTCGTTTGAAGTCTCACAAAATATAGTGTAATTAATTGATTAATTATAATCCCAAAGTTAGTCGAAATAGCTGTAATTTTCAATTTTCTTTGTGCCTAATTCGATGTTTGTAAACTTAATAGGAATTAATTTCGCTCTCGCCAAAAGTTTTTCATAATCTTTGAATAGAACCGCTAAATCACTTTTCCCATTTCACTTCGGAGAGACGAGGCTTATTTTGTTTTTATTACAGCTTATGTTCTTGACAGCGATGACATCTCTTTGAAGTGATTTCAACCATTACCGCAATTTGCGCTATATCGTCCATTCTTCGCTTTCGAGTGAAATTTCAAGATATTTTTATAAATACCATCTCGAGACGTTAACACAACGTTCAAGTTTAAAGTGCAACGCTTCTTTAAGCTTCGTTATTTGACGATAAATACCTTTTGCTTAGATGAGAACAAAAAATATATAAGTAGAGGCTTTTTATCGAACGTTATTTGGTAAATTTTTGTTTACTTTTACAGTCGTAAATATGTTAAAGTTAGTGTTTAAGTTGAAACAAAAATACTTCAAATTACTGCATAAATATTGTCTATAGTTTACGCGAGTAGTACACATTTAAATAAAACACTTTAACGGTTTAAAACGCGATATATTAGTTAAACTTATTTGAAAATGATTTTTAACTTCGGCCCGACGTTTCGGATGCTTTGCAGCAGCCTGGTCACGGGGAGACTAAACGTCGGGCCGAAGTTAAAAATCATTTTCAAATAAGTTTAACTAATATATCGCGTTTTAAACAGTTAAAGTGTTTTATTTAAATTCATAAATATGTTATTTGAAAGAGGAGGAAAAAGCAGTCACTGAGTACCCCGATATATAATACCAGAGATGTGTTATCGACCTATTTTGGCTTTAGGTATTCAGAAATCTACAGACTGAAACTCAAACGCGGTTACTTGACGACTTTTTCTTCTGTGCACGCGGAAGGTATTTTAGTATTCCTATCACCCATTTCAAATTTAGATATCCAGAAAAAGTACAACATGTTTCAGAAAAATCATAAATTGATTAGAAGCACGTTGAATCCGGTGGTAATAGAGTCGCGACACGTTGATCATTATTTGACTTTACTACAATCTACATATATTGTTTCCATAGATTTAAACCATAACTTTTCACGTTCAACCAATGAGCCTCAGACATCATAGCTAATAACTCAGCCAATCCGTAACATTTATAACGCCATTAATAAACGCGATATCATTAATCACTTCCAACAATCGAATTGACAAATGAACACGAACGCAAAAAAAGTGCGCAACGAAACAGTAAACAACAAAAATTAGTCTTAACTGGCAATAAAATGGCTGCGATCGCGATATATTCTCTCCCCCCCCCCCCCCATTATTACCGTTTCATTTCGATGGACTATTTTTTCACTCGTAATTATTGTTTGCATTCGGGAGCATTAATTAGCGCCGAAACGCGATATTTTCGGTAGCCGGGCTTTATGTAACGAGTATTTAATTGCGAAGTATCAGTTGTTCATTGTTGTTCGTTTATCGTTATCAGTTTCATGGAAATGATACGATTTCATTCACATTTTAATTATCTTTGCATTATATTTACGAGCGCTCTGTAACCGCGGTTTATTAATGGCTGTTGTAAATAATGATGTCGATAATTCGATAGGATTAAATGGACTTAAGTATGTTAATTTTACTGAAAGTATACTCCAGTCTGTTGTTACTGAAAATGTACTTTAGTGGCTTAGTATGTTGGGTAGTTAGACATAAATTACTTCGAACGGTTCTAAACGCGAAAAGCCTTATTAAAGGTAATTTAAGTAATATATTTCAGTAAATGAGGCTTATTGAAAAAGTGTTTTATTTTTAATAAATGTTTCAATATTTCTAATGTACTTTTGTTATAACGATGTTATTTATAAGTAAATGGACTTTAATTTGGAAATATTTTATAAGCATCGATAAATTATATTCCATTGGGCAATAAAACTAAGAACCGACTAGCGTATGTAGTTTACGAATTGTTTGAATAAAACACTTTCAACGGGCTAAAACCCAAATTGTATTAGTCAAACTTATCCTCCATCTCACTTCATCTCCCCGTAACTATGGCTGCTACAAAGTATCCGAAACGTCAGGCCGTAATTTAAATAGTTTGTAAGTGTAACTAATACATTTCGTGTTTTAAACCGTTAAGTGTTTTATTCAAACAATTATCCGTTAACAACACATGATACTCAAATAATTTGTTATTTAGAAAAAATATAGTTATCACTTAAAGACATAAAAATAAACTGCTTTATTACACGTTTGTGTAAAACATTATACTTACTCTCGAATGATTTCCGTCCACAAAGAATTCCGCCTCAGTCCGACCAGCGCCCTGGCCAATCGCTGGTGCTCCAAAGACGTCCAGAGTACCAGGACTGGATCCAAGACTGTCAAGTCTGCCAGATTCGGCAAACTGCTTCATAGGTGATGAGACACGTCTACCCAAGTGGAACAGGATGTAGGAACGACTGTGCGAGACACCTGTAAGAAAATTATTCTGTTAAATACACAGATCATATATTGGAATCAAGATATAATCTATTTCTTACTAACGATGTTATTTTTAGTACGTATGTTTGTTAATCTCTCACGCTGTAACCCTTAACAGAATTGTAAAATACTAGCTGACCTGGCAAATTTTGTTTTGCCATATACTAGCCGTACTCACGACTTCGTCCGCGTACAATAGTTATATTGGGCATCACATAATTATGTCTGCAAACTAATAGCTCATCTTAAGACATTCAAGCTGTTGATTCGAACCAGTTGTTCCTGAGATTAGCGCGTTTAAACAAACTCATCAGCTTTACAATGCCTATTAGTATTCTAGAGAGATTTTAATGTTGAAGGATCAATTTAGACTGGCTTCGGTAATCTCTACGTTGTACGGTTGTATGTATTTTTGATGTCCCTTTAAAAAATAATACAAAAAATAAAAATAATAGGCATGGATACTATAATAGGATAGGATTACTACATAGGGATAAAGGGAATAAATAAAAACAGATTCTTAGGTGTACATAAAATTTAATAAAAAATCTGTCAAGGCGCTTCGGAGGAGATTGGTAATTTCGAATTTAGAACTTTATTCTAAATTCGAAAATATGATTTACTCACTGATTACTACAAGGTCGCCAAAAATAATCTATTTATTGATTGACGGCTTATTTTGTCTCTGAGTGACGGCTCTTTACCGAAAAACAGTACAAACGTGAACAAGAGAGGTGCAATTATATACTGACTTTAAATCTGAAACAAGCCAATCTGATAAGCTTACTTAGCCGGGTTATTTTATTATTGGCAAAGTTTAATAATGCAAATTTTAAACGAGTAAAGAATTTGTTATAATAGTATGTAACTGCAAGAATAGTTTGAAATAGGAATCGTTATAAATTCCTACATAATATGAATAAAAAGATACAAAAATCTTTTTCATCATAAATTTCTTTTTAATATTTTATAAAATCATTTCAAAATAGATGGCATACATAAGATGTATAAATAAATCGCTTTTAAACGCAAACAGTATTAATTAACTTTCACTTTTAATACAGCTCGAAATTTTGGATGCAGATGGCAGCACCCGTGGTACTACGCTAGTAGTAGATTTTGACATTAGGGACACCCTGCATGGACAGACTGTCGGGGACATTTTTGTAGATCATTTAAAAAGGAATAATTCTTTCATACATACTTTTTTTGTATCTTCAACAGTACCAGTAGATGATTAAAGCGTACGCAACGAAAATGCTTATACGTAAATAACTCTCCCCGTTTTTCCACATTTCCCACTGTTTCTTTCCACTTTGTATTGGTCGCAGCGTGATGCTTTATAGCCTAAAAGCCTTTAAAAAATTTCAATTTATACCAACAGTTCTCGGGATTAGCGCGTTCGAACAGACAAACCTATCTTTATAAAATTAGTATATCCCGTAAATTCTTATTTATTTTAAATACTCTTTTATCTTATACTTCCTTCCAGTGGAGAAAGAGGAAATCTATTTTTTAAAGCCTGACTCTCAGATGTTTCAGATTAGGGCGGGCGGCTGTCAAATACGTCCAAGGTAATCTACCTTCGTCATTCCTTACACTTTAATTAAGCATTTTATTTAATATTTTTTACATGTTATTGCTCAAGGAGGCACTATACATTTTCCTATAAGTTTACCTAATATATATTGCGTTTTAAACCGTTAAAGTGTTTTATTTAAATGTGTACTACTCGCGTAAACTACAGACAGTATTTAGTTGGGTTCAACTTGGTTTCTATTCATATCAACGAAAAAGATGCAAATACAATGGAATATCAAACACTTTTCGTAGCGACTATTAAAAAGTCTCCTTGAGCAAAAATGTCACGTAATCCCTTAACAAAAACAAGCGCGATCCCGAAAAAAGAGTAATGAAATATCTTCGAAGTTAACGAAAAATAACCCAATAGTGTAAAAAGTTTGGAGATCAACACCCGGGCAAAAAAGACCGGGCACCGGAACGGATTAAAACTTCCCTCCGATCTCAACAAATACCGTTTATATTTTTTCGAGAGTTTTATGTTTGCTGAGCAATTTGTTATCCTTTTCGCTTTTCACAGTCCATCTAAGATTTAATTTAAGTTCATTACGTTGCGTCGTAAAAAGGCTGCATTTTGTTTACTTTCCGTCCTACTTTTTAGTTTTTGTTTAATTAGTAACTTGTCTTATTCGTAGTTATTAAATAAAATGTAAGCTTTATTTCTAGACTTCGAATTAGGATTAAAATAGTATAATGTTTTATTGGACATTGGAGTTTATTAGTCGTATGTTAAATACTGTATATATAGTTTACGCGAGTAGTTCACATTTAAATAAAACAATTTATCGGTTTGAAACGCGGTATATTAGTTAAACTTGTTTGAAAATGATTTTTAACTTCGGTCCGACGTTTCGGGTGCTTTGCAGCAGCCGTGGTGTGGTAATATATCGCGTTTTAAACCGTTAAAGTGTTTTATTTAAAAGTCATATGTTTGTAACAATATTGTACTTAGCTCTAAGTAAGATGATCACGGATGATAGGATGACTTCAGGATGACCTACTTACTTGAATTAAGTTGTCGCAGTAAGGCTGTTGCTTCCAGTAAGGATTTTGAGGAATATATCTGCTCTTATTATCGATAAGTTTTATGTTACAAACTTCACGCACATCAATAAACCAATAAATAATGTTTTTCTAAAACATTGCTTTAGACAGTTTGTGCTTCTATTAACGAAATTATTGATTTTGCTCATAAAGTTCTAATAAACGTTTATTAACAAGTAAAACCACAACAGGTAAAGGCGTAACAGCCATTAACATTATTTCCTTAAATATATCCCACATACCGAATGACCTACAAACAAATTTCATGGAAGTGCGTGCCCAACATAAGAAGTCGTAAAAATAATTTATTTTGAAAGCTTTCCACTAATGATTATACATTAAACAACAAGAAACTTTAATTGTGTATTTATGGTTGTAAAAGAAGTTTTTCGGAACATTCGAAATACGCCGATAATAAAAATAATTCGCAGAAAAATAGTTTTTTTTTAGATTCAAACCTAGGACCTCACGATTAACGCAGTGGCATTGAGTTAAATCATTGGCGCTATGAATGCTTTTGTTATCTCATCAGGAAAAGTGGAAACTAATATTTAATGACTTAATACGCTGTCACCTATAGGTACTTTAATAAAATATCATAGCATAGCCACAATAGATCGATAGCGCATCTTCTTGTTGTTATACAACTGGGGTATTATATATTCCACCTTCCATTAAGTGAATCCCATACTTGTCTAACCTCCTCTATCATAAATATATTTAAATAAAACACTTTAACGGTTTAAAACGCGATATATTAGTTAAACTTGTTTAAAAATGATTTCCGTGAGCCGTGGCAAAGCATCCGAAACGTCGGGCCGAAGTTAAAAATAATTTTCAAATAGTATACAAAGTTTATCTAATATATCGCGTTTTAAACCGTTAAAGTGTTTTATTTAAATGTGTACTACTCGCGTAAACTATATACAGTATTTAATAAACTATATACTTATGTCTTTAAGTACTATAAACTACGAATTTGTAAGGGTAAATTATAAGACAATTTATCAATATTAAAACAAATACCAGCATTAATTGTAATCATTGTTTACATGAGTCACGTGTTGATGAACTTGTACGTTGCCAGTTGGCTCGCTTACAGATCTGAGAATACGTGCTCTAGTATAAAAAAATAATAATCTCAAAATATCTCGTTATCTGTGCCCGACATTTATAATCTGTCGTTAGCTGGTTCTCATTAAGATTATTATAGAAAATCGAAAATAGAGGTTATTATCATTTATTCGGTAGCTTTATATAATTTTTAATAGATACAAGTACATTTTTTTATAATATGTATATATTACATATATAATTTAAAATTAATTATGAAACAGTATTTGATTTAATCTCATTTCCCCATTAGACACACACATTTATGGTGTGATTTTATTTACAGGCAAGTGAATAAACTCACGTCACCTTGCTCAACGAAAATTAATTTCTGAATTCGAACTCAGGATAAGATACTAAACGAAAAGGCGAGAAGAGCGGAGATAATCATTGCGTTAGTAGACATAGACGAAAATAAATACACCATTGCCTGAACATTATCATTTATAGTCTAGTTTTCTACAGACTTAGTTCAGCCGAGTCATGTTAATATATATAAATTTAGTAAACCAGAAAATGAACCAGGATTTTAGATTTAAAATATACCTTTAAAAAAATTACTTGTTTGGAGGAACCCGTTCTAACAAGAAAAAAAGATATCTATACTGCCATATATATATATGCCAAGCTCTACTTTTTAAACTGCGAAAGAAAGCAACGTACTAGTCATGTAATTAAAACAATTGTTTAAATAAGTTGAACTCTATAAAATGGACTGAATACGACTCGAGCAATTAAGAACACGTACCTTGAACTAATGGCCTTGTTTTGCGAAGCCAAAGCTCTTCTAATTTCTTTTAGCAAAGAAAAATAGCTGATTCCATTTAACGATAGCATTAATTTGTGTAGTTTTTGCTCCTCCGTGAAGTACTCTTGTGCTGAACAAGTTTTCTGGTTCTATGTCCGGGAGTTAATTGGAGGCTTCATACGTACTTCGTGTGTAGAATATTTTAAATTCAAGTCTATGTATTATACATATGTCTTGCATTTTAATTACCCAATAGAGCTTTTCAGGAAGTTGAAGATTTGTGCAAGCATTTTTAGAGGCCCATTTAATATGTATGAATTGATGTGTGATTTTAAAAGTTAATTATTTTGAAATAAGTAAAAGATATTTGGAATTATATTGAGGACTTTTATATATAATCGATTCTGTAATGTTAGGTAACGGAATTCTAACTGAGACGAGAGTATGAAGTTTACAACAGTATTTAAATTTTTGATTTTGAAAAGATTTGCAATAAGCCGACTGT